AAACAGTATAGAAAGCAAACATAGATACCAGAGACAGTGTGGGAGGAGAGTGGGAGATGGCAGAGGGTAAGAGAGAGGGAATCAAGGATGGGGGAAAAAAGCAAAACATACAGGAAACAAGAAATGGAAATGTATTTGACAATAACACGTATGTTGGTGTGCTTGACTGAGCCAATATGCAGTGCACTCTGGATGGAAAATCTCATTTTGTATGCTGTAATGATGTACAGTGAATGAACATAAACAAAGAAATTTAAATTAAAAAAAAAGAAAGTGCCCGGCTTGGCCCACGATGCTGAGGGGCTCGCGAGGACCCCGTTTGCCACACCTCATCTGGAGAACCAGGAGCGGGATGCAGATGGGGCACGGGGCTGGCTCCGCGGACTGTAAAGTGTTGAAAGAGCGTGCAAAGGGGGACATAGTCTTAGGTGATTTGCACCCTAAAAGGTCTGGAGCCAGGACCTGGTGCACACCTCCCCCTTCCGGGGGAAACCAGTCACCAGCCTGTCCAGTGCCCGCCACCCACCTGGCCCAGGCGAGGCTGGCGATGGGGCGGAGGGAGAGGGTGGCCCCCAGACTCAGAGGGTAAGGACAGACCCCGCAAACTGCGAGGCCTCTGGAGTGCCCTTCTCCCTTACCCACATGTAGACCACGCGTGGCTCACGGGAGCCCCGCCCCAGTCGGCTCCGTGGCAGGCAGGCCTGGCAGGCAGCTCTGGGTCACCCCCGCTGAGGTCAGGAGATGGGTGGAACACAGGGAGGCCCGAGGGCAGGGCTGGGGTGGGCAGGTGATGAGAGGCCTGTCCAGGCACAGAGCCCACCGTGCCCGCTGCCCCCAGGGAAGCCTACTCCGCGGGCAGCTGCCCCCCTTCCTGGATGGGCTATTCCAGAACAGCGAGCCAGTGGTCGTGCGCCTCATGGGCACCGTGTCGGAGGTGCTGCACTGCCTAGGCACTCACGGCGCGGGCGCCCAGAGCCTCAGTGTCGCCATCAACGCCCGCTCCTTCTTCGACGACGTGAGTGCGCCGGGGCAGGGTGAGCTGGGGATCCCCTGCGCCTGTCCCCACTCCCTCTCCCCTGGGGAGCTCCTGGGGTGCCCTCACCATATGGGCAGGCAGGGGGGGCCAGGGTCTGCCAGCACTGGCCCTGTCCAGGCTGAACGGGGCCAACACTCAGTCCCCAGTCCTATACCTGACCTTACAGACAGCCTCGCCACACGTCACATGTCTGGAACCGCCCTCTCCCTGGCTGGGAAGTCAGGGCGCCGCCTCTGCACCTGCAGCACTGCACGGCCAGGGTGTGGCTGGCCAGGGTGTGGCTGGCTGGGGAGGAACGCAGTGCGCTTCTGTCCTGGAGGCTGGCGGGGGCCTGAGCCTGGGGAGGGCCCACCCCCAGGGTGAGTAGGGTCCTAAGGTGACGGACACTCGCCCCCACCCCCCAGCAGGAGCGGGACAAGATTCGGGCGGCAGCCATGGCTCTGTTCGGGGACCTGGTGGCGGCGATGGGAAACAGGGCGCTGAGCGGCCTGCGGACCCAGGTGCACCAGAGCATGGTGCCTCTGCTCCTGCACCTGAAGGACCCATGCCCAGCTGTCACCACGGTCAGTGCCCACCGTGGGCAGCAGGCTTCCGGGCCCTCGGGTGGCTGGGGCTGCCAGGCAGATGGCAGCAAGGCTACCTGAGTGGAGGTGTCCCAGGGCTCGGGGGCCCGCTGACCTTGCTGACGTGACTGGGCCTGACCATATGTAGCACAGCCCCGCACAGGGACCATTAGGACACCGCTCGGCCCCGAAGCCCTGGGGTTCCCCACCCTGGGGACCTGGGGGCGCCGACGGTAAGCAGAGCAGAGGCGGAACTGCAGTCCAGCTGGGGCGGGGGAGGCTGCCCCGAGGATAGATGGCTGCCCTCGGGCTCCAAACCCGGCCTGGTGGCGACCCTGCCCGCGCTGTGCCCGCAGCAGGCCAAGTTCACCTTCTACCGCTGCGCTGAGCTGCTCCACTGGCGGCTCCGACACACCCTCTTCTGCACGCTGGCCTGGGAGCGCGGCCTCAGCGCGCGCCACTTCCTCTGGACCTGCCTGGTGAGAGGCCTGAGGTGGGCAGGGCGGGCACTGGGCTGCAACGGGCAATGGCAGGTCAGGTTGGGCAGGGATGAGTTTGCCCACCCCGCACACCCGGCTGTGGCAGCCCCAGGGGCTGAGGTCTCGGCCCCACTGGCTGGTGATGGGGGTGCTGTCTCCGGCCAGATGAGCCACAGCCAGGAAGAGTTCGGCATCCACCTGGCACAGGCCCTCAGCTACCTGCACAGCCGCCACCGCCATGTCAAGACCTGGGCCGCCCTCTTCATAGGTGGGCAGAGCGCGGCTCAGACCCCAGCACTGGCAGGAGAGGGGCGGGAGGCTGAGGAGGGGAACGGGTCTTCGCGGAGACGGAGCCCCGGCCAGCTGCTGCCCTCTGTCGTCCAGGCTACACCATCTGCTACCACCCCCAGGCCGTGTCCCAGATGGTGACCGCCATGGACACGAACCTGCTGCTATGTAGTAAGCGGCCCCAGGCCCTCCCCAGCCCACACCCTCAACCTGCCCCGGCCCTAGCCCACTTCACAGAGGGCTTCTCCGCGGCTTCCCAGCGCCTCGGCATCAGGGCTGTCCCCGGCCCCCAGGACACCTGTGACCTAGGTCCTCCAGCAGCTACGGGAGGCTCCTGGGAGCGGGTAGGGACGGTGAGAGGCCCACAGTCCAAGGGCAGGCCTGGGTGCCGCTGCCAGGCTGGAATGAGGGGTGCGCCAGGCCAGCGTCACAGACACGTTCCTCCTCTAACGGATGCGTCCCTCCTCTCCTGGAGCTTTTGAAGACCTCAAGACAGACCCTGAGCCTGGTATCCGGGAATTCGCCACCAGGCAGCTGTCCTTCCTTCCAGAGGTGTCAGCCAGACCCCAGCACTGACAGCGGCCCCCTCCCTACCCACCCCTCCACAGCAGGCTGCCTAATGTTTCCATTTGAAAGAAAAATCTAGATTGAACAGAGAAGGCTTCCACCCTTCACTCCCTGCTGCCTCCGCCATGCCCCCACCGCAGTGCCCAAGCCCAGCCCCTGGGACAGTGGCAGGACGGCCACAGAGGCAGAAAAACTGTGAGGTCTGAGAGACCCCGAAAATGGCAGCCCCAGCCAGAGTCCTGGGGCTAAGAGGTGCCAGGAGGGCAGCCTCGGTCCACGGAGCCCACAACCCACGGCATTCTCCAGGGAGACCCCAAGTCTGCAGGGTCTCCGGGGGAGTTCAGCAGCGTGGACGGGCTGGTGGGGGGAAGGGTCCTCAGGCCACCTCCCTCGGCCTCCACTCCCACCCCATCTCGGTCAAGGGTGGCCCCCAGGCTGGAGCAGTCCGCCACCCACCTGCAGAAGCTGTGAGCCCACGCCCTGAGTCTCTGCTCTCAAGGCCCCAGCTGTTCCATCTACAGGTGGGCAGTAAGGCCTGCCTCCCCACTCTCCTGGAGGGCTAAGTCCAAGTTTGGACCCCTGGCACCCGCGACTACCTGGGACTCCCCTGCCCTAGGGCGCCCCCACCCCCAGCCTGTCTTCCCACGTGTACAAGGGCCACACGGGTCCTAGGGGTCTACAGAGTGCTTGGAGACCCTCCCTGACAGAGCTCCCCCAGGGCCTCACACCAGGCTGCCCGTGGGGACCCCCGCCAGACCACCTACCGCCCCCACAGTCCAGCGAGCCTGCCTGCCGGCCCTCCTCACTGTCCCGCCCAGCTCCTCCACACCTGGCCGGGCCCCTCGCACCCAGAGCCTGCCCCTCCTCCGCACCTGCACCTGCTGCTGGCTGGCTTCCGTCCTCCCAGGCCAGTACACGGCCCTGCTGAGGCTGCGGTCCAGCACCCACCTCGCCCTAGATGGAGTCCCACTGTGCCCCCTGCCAGCCTTGGGCAGGGCAGGGCTGGTGCCTGGGCCTGGACGGTGGGCTGAAAGCAGAGCGACCTTGGCCACCAGCGGGGCGAGCTTCCTCCGTACTGGGCCACCCTGGGCCTCAGGCTCCCTGCATTCACCCTCCCTCCCAGTGAAAGCGGAGCCAGCGGGCCTGACTCATGGGTTCCTGGAACCACACGACCGCGGTCTGCTCCCATCGAGTGGGCTACTCCCCCGGCGCCGGAGCTCGGGCAGGCCGGGCCACGTACAGCTGGAACCCAGAGCAGCACCAGTGCCCACCGCAGCCGAGAGCCAGGCCAGGACGCGGGCCAAGGAGGGGCGGCGACCACGTCCCCTCACCCAGGGTCTGCCCAGACCGCAGGAGCCTCGCCCCTGGCAGGGCCTCTCGGAGCCCCAGGAGATGAGGCTGGCCCTTCCCGAAACAAGGAGACGCAGTGATGGGGCCCAGCCACAGGGCCAGGGCAGCTGCCCCGCCCGCAGAGCAGAGCTGTCCCAGTGCATAGGGTGCGCTGGGGGACGGCGGGCTGGCGGGGCCCTGTGAGGGGACAGCTGCAGGCCAGGCAGGCAGACCCAGGTGGGAGCGTGCCCGCCCCCTGTCCCGGCAAGTACCCAGCCAGGTGTGGAGACCAGTGGGGTAGGTGACAGTGCCTGGGGTCTGAGGGCAGGACCCTTCCCAGCCTCCCCCAGTCAGCCAGGCCAGCCCTGGGCCAGTCCTCCTCCCAGTGTGGCCCAGCTCCCCTTTCCTCACCCGAGGAGGGGCCTGGACCCCACCTTGGAAGCCTGCAGAGAGCTGCGGTCTCACACTCGGACCCAGCTGGGGGGGGCAAGTCCCCCCACTCCCCGCCCCACCTCCCCCACCCCTGGGCTGACGGAGGGTGCCTCCCTCCACCCTCCTGGCACCAGCAGAGCCCCACGGCACCACTGGACCTGGGCCTCTAGAGCTGAAATGAGGACACGCAGCTGGGCGGGGCGGGGGCCACCCCACGGAGCACAGGCCTGAAGAATCGCAGTGGCGCCTCCCTGCCCTGCGGAGGACAGCACTGATGGCCCGGCCTCACCTTCTAACATCCGAGCCCCCAACTGTCACGGCACCAGCCCAGGCGGACCCACTCAGCAAACCCGGGCCAGGACAGGCAGCCTCCGGGCCGGCGTGCAGGGACCTGCATGGCCACCAGGGGGTGCTGCAGAGCCCCAGCGCAGAGGCTGCAGCGTCCAGGTTCCCAGGACCGCAGCTTCCCCGCCCAGCTGCCCCTCACACCCACTCTCCACACACAGCCAGGGCCCCAGTTTTATTGCCATTGGTGTCCAGAATGCCTGGCTGTCCCAGGACCCCATAACAACAGGGCAGAGTGAGGGTCCTTGGATAGCCGGGTCCAATGGTTAGAATGGTCTCTCCCACCCCACAGTGAGCAGGCAGAGACCTGCCCCGGGGACGGTGTGGGAGGGGCTGGCAGGAGGTCCAGGGCCAGGGGGCCCAGCTAGTCCCAGAGAGTCAGATGGACAGCACAGTGGCTCCGCAGCCGGCGAGACGCCCTGGACGCAGGTGCACAAGCCGGCAGCATGGACGGGAACTGGGCCAGGGGGCCAGACCCCGGCATGGCGAGGCTGCGAGCCTACATGACGCAGCAGCGCGCCCTGTGCGCGCGCGGGCCCCTAACCCGCAGTCTCTGTTTGGGCCGGTACTTTTCCAGGTAGGTGAGCTGTTTGCTGTTGATGGCTCCCCGACGCTTCCTGGGAAGAGGGGACAGGCAGGGGTCGCCAGGGCCCTGCCAGGCTGCCCAGCATGCCCAAGAACCAGCCAGTGAGAAGGCCTCTGTGTGAGTGCAGCCAGCAGAGCTCCCCCCACCTCACCCCAGCCTTGGCCAGGCTCTCTCGCTCCCGCCATCACCCGTCACCCGTGGCTCGGCCTGCCTGCTGTACCCAGCCCCGCGGCCCCTGCCCACCCCTGGCATGCGGAGCATGAGCAGGGAATGCGCCCGTGTCAGCCTGAGTCACTGCACTGTGGGCCGCTTGTGCAGCCCAGCAGGCCTGTCCTGACCGCTGCAGCCTGGCACCGAGGGAGTCACCCAACGAGGGCCACAGAGAGCTGGCACGGCCACAGGGAAGGACCGGCCCTCGCCCCGGGCAGCCAGGACCCTCCCTCCCACCCCTGGCCACTCACTGTCGGATAAACTGGATGGGGTCTTCCTACTTCCTCCCG